AATTGTTTTGTTGTTTATTTTTCTCTTCTCTTTTTTTGTTCCTTCAGCACTTGCTCTTTGTAACCTGTACCCTACTCCCTGTACTATGTTTTTTGTACTTTGCTGTTTCTCTAATTAATTTTCAGTAGGGGCTTTTCCCCCTCCTGTTTCTTTGGAAAAAAGGGTCAAGTGTTTGCCTAAACGTGAAAACGCAGATTGAAGAGTCAAACTCTAGTATAAGGGCCTGTTTGGAAGCACCAGCTAAATTGTAGCTGGCTAATTTTAGCTATGATGCATCCAAACACCTCATTCCATTAGCAGCTAAAAGAGCTCCTAGCTAATGGGATCTAGCTAATTCCATTAGCTGTTGCAACCCAACTAATCCTAGCTAATTCCATTAACTGGTGCATCCAAACACCCCTAGCTAAAATTTAGCTAGCTAAAGTTTAGCTTGCTAAAATTTAGCTCTAGCAATTAGCTAGCTAAACTTTAGCTGGGTGCATCCAAACAGGCCCTAAGATGCACACCCCACAAGTCACCTTGCAGGAGGTGGTTTTAGTTTTCTTTCCATTGACATCAACAAAGTAAGGGCAGATCATAACTAAGAATCCCACATCTTTACTGATTTACGAGCAGTCGAGTAAGTTTCAAACTGCTAAAACTTCTTATGCTTCCAAATGATATGCCCATTACTACTGAATTTCTATGCCTACTATTATAGTGTTTTTAGATGCCCTGCTTGTCGACCAAGGCACTAACCAGGAATGGTGTTTGTTCTGGAAAGAACCAACCTTCAGTTCACCAAAGCAGTTAGGATAGTTCAACCAAGAATGAAAACCTAAGTCCGTCTCTGATGTCGTTGTTGCTTCTCTAGAATATTGCCTAACCCATTCGTAAACTGCATGTAACTATCAAGACAGGGCTACATGCAAGTCCCAAATGTGTAGTAAGAACAAAAATAAAAATGTTTCACTAAGCACGGTTATCAGATGAGGAGTCATCTCTTATAAAACTTAGGGATTTAGCAGAGTAGAATGCAAATTCCACACAATTGCACCAATTCAATGCCAACTACTGAGAAAACATAAGTGAGAGGTCCAACGAGCAATGAATGAGAGGAGGCAGTTGAAGTGGATGTCGGTGGAGATGGCTTACCCAATAGCCCTGGGGAAGAGAACCTATTGTACTTGCTTGGAAAAGCTGGTGGCCAAGCATGACAATGCATTTGACCTCGCCTAGAAGGCTTTTCCTACCAGCGAATCGAGAACACAAGCAATAACATGAAGGACACAATTTGATATTGCAAAAGAGATGAAGTATATCAACTTGGTAGGAGGTTCAAGTCTTCAAACAAAAGGATCAGACTAATCGATAGAGTCGAAGAAGAACAAGAACGGGGCTCTAATTGATAGCAGTCGAACTTGGCATTACAAGTGCTATGAAGAATGTCTGTTTCAACTCAACAACACCCAAACCCTAATGAGTGCAACAACTATTGATTATAACGTCTTAGGGCGTGCATACGCGCCACGTAACGAGCTATAAGATGACAGATGACCCAATGGACCAAAAGATGGTGTCGCAGCATCCTGGCATAACATTCTACACGCATACTTGTTTTCATGATCCCCGTTGACTCTGATAGAATTTTGAGGAGGAACTAGTGCATTTGAAAGCTTATGAAATTATCTTTCCAAGAATAGGTAGAACGTCGAAAATGAAATCCGTATACACCCTGGGCGTGTTTTTAGCTAGGACTGCTCATGGAATCCGAGGTGTCCTCTAACTCGATTTAAATTGGCCCTCCGTCATAACTTGGATGCCCATGCTAGTCCTCTCCACCTCCAAGCATTGTATCTAAAGAAGTGAAGTCCTCATCAACATGCATGAGTTGTGAACCGTTAGATTCAGCTACCTTATAATGAATAGGTCTCATTGGCTACGGTGAAGCATAAGGCATAGAGTACAATGGCATTCTTATAGGCTTCCTCCTCAAGACCCTAGATTGGAGCCCTCCATCTTTAGTGTAGAAGCAACTGCATTTTGAAGGTGCCAGAAGAATGTGCGTGAAGATAAGACCATGCCAAAGCCATGAGTACAAAAGAAAAAAGTTCTGTACGATGATAAAGATCTTCAAAAAAATTACATATACAATAATAAAGACATTTTTCAGGAAAGTAAATTTTACCCAACTATGCCAATGTTAGCGTTGAAGCCTATAGACATGTTACAAAATAGCCACAGGTCCACAGAAATACTAGTCATGTATGGTTGAAGCGACATTCAAATAACTAACTCACGAACATTTTTTCTAGCACCCTAAGTGGGTTCTCAGAGGTGCCACAGCATGGCAGAGGGGGTGAAGGAGTCACTAGGGCTGTGAGTAGTGTTGAGCCAATACCACTCGCCTGGACGTCACATAGCCCAAGAACCAACGCGGAAGGCGGAACACGCTAACATGCTCCCAGCAAGCATTGGCTTCGGCATGACTCCATCTTTATTAGCCGTCTTCTAGATACCCCTTGTGCACCATTTTGACTACAAAGGGAAGGTGTATGCATTCTTAAATGTTATCTCTCACATAGAGCACATATTGAGACTAAAATGGTAAAGCAATGAGTAGTTTCATGGAATCCATGTGCCATCATTGTCCCAACACATGATTTATAAGAAGAAATGGTGGTATAGTGGGATCCACGCTGGAGAACAATGTAATAGGTCGTTCGGTGGATTCAATGTGATGCCCTTATGCCGTTGCATGGTCAAGCCATAACTCGACATTGGTATATCACTGTCAAGTTATGTTTCAGAACTGGCAATGATATTCCACCCTATTACTTTTGGTTCATGACTCAAATAGCAGTGATATTTCACTATTGGGTCGTGACGCAATCCGACAATGATAGTGAGCCCCATTGTCGGATCATTCATTCAGATCCCGACCAATTGTTTGGATCCTAGTGAAGCCATGCATAGCATTATCGGTTCATGCACACCTGGTAGTGATGGACCAACAAAGATTCTTAGTTCACTAGCAGTATTTCACACTTTTTAGTTATAATAATAAAAGATATAAGGCCCCATTTGGATCCTTGGAATTGAATTAATAGAATATATTGTTACATTTCTTAAGCTAATATGTTGTATATAGAATATATTTATATATTATTGGTAGCCATACAAGGGACATACTTATATGTTACATTTCTACTATAAAGAAGTGAGTTGAAGAGTATGCTATAATAAGTTGCAGAGTAAAAATATAGCATATTGATCTATAGAATTAATTTTCATCTCCCACCCTATGAATTTGAGATAGGCTTATTTGTGAGTTTGGAGAAGTTGCAGAATGTTAAATTCCGAGCCAAATAGCCTAACCCATTAAATAGATTCCAATTCCTCCAAAATAGCCTAAGAGATAAAGATATTTCCTCCTTCGATTTTATCAAACTTCATAAAAACATATTAGGGTGGAAAATGGAACACAATAATTTAAAAAGAAAGTGATGTATGAACACACTGTCTTCATTTTAATGTATCAAGAGACAAGACAAATATAAATACGATAATGCTCCAATTAAGACGTCTGCAAGGACGGACGCCACACTCTGCTCACTCCCGCACCCAATCCCTTGCTTCCTCCTCGCTTCCGCGCTCGCGCCCCGCACCACCCTGACGCGCGTCCATGGCTGCCTCCCTGGCCAGTGGTGGTGCCCTCACCCACCCCGTCGTGCGCCCTCCCACACCCTGGCGTCCTCCTCCCCCACCCAGGCGGCTCCTCCCCCACCCCGGCGTCCTCACCCACCGCCCACCGGGAGCGCCCAATGTCCACGAATCCGGTGGCCCTCTCCCCACCCCGGCGAGATCCATGGAGCATGAGCGAGATCCATGGAGGTGCCGCTGCGGTGTTGTAGGGGACTGGGCGGCTCTCCCCCACCTCGGCGCAGCGCCCTCCCCACCCCCGACAGCGCCCCTCTCACCCCGGCGACTGAGCTCCCCCCACCCCGACGACGCTGAGCCAAGCCCGGTACTGGTGGCGCTGGTGCTCGCGCGCAGCCGCTCACTGCCATCTCCGACCCTGACAACCGGAATCGACTAGCCTAGCCTTTCCCCTCCCCTATGTTGCGTATATATGTTTCAAGTGTTTCAGACATTTCAGATGGATGTTGCAATTGTTTCATATGGATGTTGCAAAAGTAGATGGGGGGATATTGCATATGTTGCAATTGTTTTGAGGTATGTTGCAAGCGTATGTTTCGAGTGTTTCAGATGTTTCAAAGGTATGTTTCATCTGTATTTTCCGGACGCATGTTGCAAGTGTGTTTATCTGGATATTGCATAAGTTTCACACATACGTTGCATGTGTTTTATTTGAATATTGCGTATGGTTGCAATGGTTTCGAAGTGTTTTCAAGTGTTTTTAAGTGTTTCAGAAGCATGTTTCAACCGTCTTTAGACGTATGCTGCAACTGTTGTATTTGGATATTTTAAAAGTAGATCGAGTGTTGCATCTCTCCTCCCCACCTTCTGCTGTATTGTCTCGATGTGTCCTCCTGGCGCCGGCAGGGCATCCATACGATGGCACGGCCGGGTCCTTCCGAATCAGAGGCCCTGCGCCTCTTGTCGCTCGGACGGCGTGGGGCCCGTGTGGAGCACGCGAAACAGAATGCAGCACAAGGGCATCTATCTGGCCGTCCAGACACTAGCACTACCAATATAGATATATACAGATAGTTCGTAGTTTGAGAAAGAGTACTGTACCTGGAAATTGTGGACCCTTCTCATGTAGTCGACCGCGGGCCATTTGAATCGATCTGTATTCCTGAAAATCGTGGACCTGCTCACGTAGTCCACCGGGTGTCTCCTGGGATCGATCTGTAGTCCCGAGAATGTAGGCTTCCATCCGAGCTACTCCTATTTAACTAACCGAACAACCGATCGAGATGAGAGATCTAAATCTAAGTAGCCACGGCGGCGGGGGACCGGTGTTTCAAGCAACTCGCCGGCCGGATCCATCGACCATGGACCTTGTTACGGGGTCGGCGACGGTGTTGTACCACGGCGTGTACATCCATCACCCCATCGGCGGCTACGCGCATGTGGTTCTCCCGCCCGGCGGCATCGAGTCCAACGTCTTCGCCACCGGCCGCCACTACTGGTCGGCCCGATTCGTCTGCCGCAAGATCTACGGCGGCAACACGTGCCTGTCCATGAGCCTGCATCTCTGGTCCAGAGGCGTCAAGGTGAAGGCGTCCTGGGAGCTCAGCGTCATCGACCCACTACGCGGCTCCCTGCTCCTGACTACGCTGTACAGTTCGCCACCGCAGTATTTTGTGTCGTCGGAGGACATCCGCTGGGACCTGGACTATGTCTTCCTGAGCGACCGGTGCTTTTGGTATGTCGATGACAGCGGCCGGCTCGTGTTGCAGATCACGGTCACGATCGTCCCGGAGGACGATCCCGAGACGACAATAGGCAGGCAGATTGACGACGTGCCGCCGTCGGACATGCTGGACCAGCTCGGCGAGGTCCTGGAGACAAGGGAGGGCGCGGACGTCACCTTCTCCGTCGACGGTGAGCTCATCCCGGCGCACAAGATCGTGCTCGCCATGAGATCACGCGTCTTCAAAGCGCAGCTCTATGGGGAGATGAAGGAGAGTGGGGAGCAGCCCATCGAGATCAGCGCCATGACTGCCGACACGTTCAGGGCTTTGCTCCGTTACATCTACACCGACTCTTCGCCGGCGAGCAGCAGCAACCAACAAGGCGAGGAAGAAGGCAGCCAGGACAATGACAAGCAGGTTTGGGAGCTGCTCACGGCCGCAGACCGTTACAGCGTGGAGCGGCTGAAGCTCATCTGCGAGCGCACTCTTTGCAAGAGGCTTGACGTCGACAACGTGGCGGTTATGTTGGGGCTGGCTGATCGACACCACTGCGGCACGCTTAAGGATGCCTGCATCGACTTCATGAGCACTTCGCATAGGATGGACCAGGTAAAGAAGAGCCAAGGGTTCTTGCAGCTAAAAGATTCCCACCCTCTTCTTTTGGTGGAAGTGTTAGAGAAGTCAAGCAAGTTTTAAAAACATAGCTAAAACTATGTAGCCAGCAAAACTTTTGAACGGTTCCCAACTTCCATCCACTTGATCGATCAGACAATAAGAATGGAATGGTGCGAGTTTAGCTAATAATAAATTAATACTGTGCGTTGCTACAGGCACTACATATCGTTTTTCACATTTCCTACATCTCAGTAGTCTGAGACGGAGGACGCGTTCAGGCGACGGCGCCCCGCGCTTGCTCCCATGGGCCAGTGGCCTGCGCCCTGCATCGGCTCCCACGTGCCGGCGGCCCCATGCCCATGCGCTCGCGTCTCCCTCTCTCTCCATGCGGCGTCGGCGAGGTAGGCCCTCCTCCTCCTTCTGGATCTGCGATTTAGGGTTCCGGCGAGCTCCTCCTCTCTATCTCCCAGCTTCGGCAAGCTTCTCCTTTGTCTCTCCCAACTCCGGCGACCTTATTAGAAAAAAGGAGGGGCCCCGGGGAGGTAGGTAGGCCAAACGGTGGGGATGGCGGCTAGGCGGTTCGGGTCCTGGAGGCGGCCGGATCAGGTTAAATATAAACTAGTCTAACTAACTGTTCAAGAAAAATGCACAGTTAATTGTAAACTGCTCATAACTTATTATTCCGCAACAAAAAATTAGCTTCTCTTCCCATGGCTGAAATTATTTGTTTTTCGCCACAAAGAATACATCATAGTATGTATTGCTCCAACATTAGGCCTTGTTTGATTATACTCATATCCATCTCATTCTTTGTATGTGTTAGGATTGACTGTCCAATCTACCCGTCTTTGAAGGCAGCGGCGGACCCAGAAAATATTTCAGGGGGGCTGAACAATACTGCTGTTCGATCTTAAGTCTCAGCCTCCCTACACTATAGAACTTTGCCTAAAAATTCATGGGGCTCCACAGGGGGTTCCACTGCTGCGATATGGGTAGGGGGGCTTGAGCCCCCCCGCCCCACCGCTGTGTCCGCCCCTATTTGAAGGTGCTCATAGGGGTATGATTTACGTGCGTCTGTTCATATAGATGAGTGTGCGTACATCATGAGTGTCTGATGTTACTGTGTAATCTCAAAAAAAATATGGCATGAGGTGGATATGGGTGTAGCCAAACAAGGCCTTGAGTGGATGAAAATAAACCACGACCACTGATGTGGTCATTAAGCGCATAACTCATCAGTTTCTTTCTTCCTCCTTCCTCTTCTGACGTGGTTAATTTGTCCTGTACCTATTTCACTATATAACAAAATATATTTAATGACAAATCTATCTAATAATACTTATTTGGTTTTATAAAATTTGATATCTTTTGTAGTAAATATGGTTAAACTTAATAATGCTTGACTTATGTTGTAACTTAAAGTGCACTTATTTTGAAAGAATAATATATATGTAATTAAACAGCGTGTTCCTATTAGAACAAAACAAAATCATGCATGTTCCTGGCTAGGATTGTTGTCTCAAACATACAATTTCCAAGAATGCATGGTTATCAGAGCAAGCTCAATAATAAAGCTAAGTATTTGGCTATAGGCCAAGTTTATGAGCTAAGTTATAGCACATTCAGGAGTTTTGTAAAACCCTATTTTGATTTTTTTTAGCAAAAGAAAGAGTGTCGTCCCACAATGTGGTAAAAAGAGCTCCCGGGAGTCTCGATGACCCATTTGAAACATGAAAATTAGTACCGGAAACAGTGGCTTTGCTGTGTGCCACAGGCATTCGGCAAAGCCCACAAAACACTCGGCAAACAGCACACGACATCTACAGTGCCGACAAATGTCTCTTTGCCGAGTGTTTTCTATCGGGCACTCGGCAAATACTTTGCCGAGAGCTGAAACCGACGCTCAGCGAAAAAAAGTAACGCGACGACGCGGAGACGGTCACGGCGCGTTTGCCGAGTGTCCCGGACCTGACACTCAGCAATCCTGCCTTCTTTGCCGAGTGTCAAATACTGGACACTCGGCAAAGACTGGCCCAGAACGTACAAATATTGGCTTCTTTGCCGAGTGTCACAGCGCAGACACTCGGCAAAGAAGTCATTTTAGTTCTAGAATACACAGAAATTTTCCACGTGTCCGCTTTGCCGAGTGTTTTTACCCTGGCACTCGGCAAAAGGCCTCTTTGCCGAGTGTAACACTCAGCAAAACGACCATATATTCCCTGTTTTTATTGTTCGGTCATGTATAACGTACCCCACTCAAATAAACATTACAAGCATCACATATAGTTCACAATAAGCATCACAGGCAGTTCATATAGATATATCGACAACACATAAATGCAAATAAACTTCAGAATCACTAGTAGGTTCATTCACAACCATAAATAGTCACAAGTAGTCACAGGTAATCCACAAATGCAAATGCAAATAAAATCACAAGTAGTCATTTAGGCCACGGGTTCCACTGCGACCACGCTGGGTCATGAGGCTCATTCGATGCCACCGATTGATTCTGCACAAAGGAGAAGAGATTGCATGTGTGAGACAAGATTGAACAATACGTATGGTATCTCTGCTGCCTAACTAGTATAACACTTGCAACTATCAGCAATATCTTCTCAGTTGCATTGTGCTCTAGTATGATTGTTAAAGTACTAGTTGGTAACAAACATATAGCATTAGTCACTAAGTTTCTAGTGTCTGGGTATCTTTATAAGATTGATTCTGCATAAACTAGAAACGGTGATTATAAAGTTGTAAAGTGACTCACAGTGCCTGAAATAGTATTTGGAGCAGGTTGAGGAGGAGGGACTAGCATCGGTGGCGGAGGTTGACCGATTGCAGCGTAAACACCCCTCATATATTCAAACATCTATAGCCGCTCTACCTCCATCCTCTACCGCTCTGCCTCTGCCCTCTACCACTCTACCTCCATCTTCGCCTCTAGCTCCTCCCGGCACCTCATTTTTTGTTCCAGATGAGCCTACAATATTTCATCCCAATGTTACAATGCAATACAAAAGTATGTAAAAATCGATGAACGATGAATAAAACATAAATAACCTAGAGTGCGTTCATCTGGAACCGTGTAGAGTCCGGTCATGGGCGTATCGCCGGGCTGGAACTCGTGCTCCATGCTCGAATCTAGGAGATAGTGGGAGTACTGGTCGTGTCGATTGTGCCGTCGCCAATCTAGAACCGGCCATGCTTCTTGCCTCCTCCCTCCCTCATGACCACTTCTCCATCAAGGTCATGGGCGCTCGGATCGTACTCTAAGCCATGGACCGCCCTTGCCATCGATGTGTATCCATCAAGGTGGTTGTGGACGGACTCGTTGCTGTACGCCGAGGGCGGGTCCTCCGGGTTGTAGGCGACGTCGGCCGTCGCCTTGCCCTTGTGGGCCAAAGCATATGCCATGAACCGGGAGCAAGGCTTGCCACCATGTGCCACCAATTGCAAAAAAAACCAATATGATTAGAAATTATGCAGAGTTGAGCGTTGGAATAAAGAAATGAATTCACGAACCCATCTAGCCACGTATTCTGAGAGGTTTAGGTTGCCTTGATGGTGTGGTGCACTCGACATCAACAAACGTCGCTCTCGGCAAGCGCGCCAGGATTCTCGTCCCATGCGAGGTCGCACCACCTGTCCACCATCCGGGCCCAGCACTACAGATCGTAGGCACACCACCACGGAGGCACCTACGTCATCAAGTATATGACATAAAAGAAGATGAAATTAAGTGTAATTAATCTCAGAAAAAATAAGTATTAATGTTCTATATTTACCTTCAGGTATTGTTCCCGGGTCAGCTTCATGGTTCTTGCCGCACTTTTAGGGAGCCTCACTCTAAGAATTTCCATGTGGTATTAGATCACGGCCTAGATGCGCGCCTCGTAGTGCATGTCCTTGACGAGTTTCTTGGTGGCTTTGTCAGCCACAGCATCCGCCTTGGCCTCAGTATCCCACCTAGCATCTAAAGAAATCCTGCATATAGACGCAATGTATCCGGTCATTATTTCAAGGATGTCCAATCAATGCGATGTATTGAGCAATGTAGTGCGAGAGAGACTTACCCAAAGCTCGGCCTTGACACGCTGCGCCTTGTCGGCGAATACCCTGCCGTCCCGATCAGGGGTGTTGAGGACGGCGACATAGTGGGCCCACGTGTAGGCCGACTCGATAGTTCCGCCGAACTGCACCAGGCCAGCAAACTTCTCCTTGATCAAAAGACCAAGGATGCTGTTAACATGGCGTGCGTGATCACCCCCACCGACCTTTCTCCAAGCCCTACCCAAGTGATTAAGATAAATTATTAGTTTCTATTGTAATTTTGAACATATCAAACGAAAAATTAGTGATAACATCTAAAGTTACTTACTTGTCTCCATCGGGTTGAATCAGCGGGCGTCTCTCAAGAGGTATCGGTCGCCTCGGGAGGGTTGTGGGACCTTGCAACCACACACACGATGAAGTAGAGGAAGAGGTACCCTCTGTCTCCTCCTCCACCCCTGCCTCCTCCTCCACCTGTACCTCCTCCTCCACCTGTACATCCTCCTCCTTAGAGGATGAGTGAGCGGAAGGTAACTTAGACGGCGATGAAGGTACAAGCGACGGTGGCCTCGTCTTGCCTCCACCCTTCCCTCGACCCCTAGGTCTACCCCGAGGTCTCTTCCCGGACCCCTCAGCTGCATCGGACCCTTTACGTATCGCTGTCGCTTTTGAGTAAAGCGACGTTATCCTCTTCATACCGCCCACCATTGTTCAATCACCTACAATTAAAAAGAGTAAACCAATTAGCACAGATAATACATCAAAATAGATGCAAAATAAAGAAAACATACTTAGAAAATAACATGGTATGACAAATAATAAATCAATTAGTACGGATCATACTTGTATTAGAAGTAATCATCATGATCGGGATTAGCTGGATCATAAGTCTCATCATCACAATATACAAACTTGTATTGGTCCATCACAAAGCCATTAACAGGACTCGCTTACTGGTTTGGCTAACTTCAGAATAATCAAAGGAAATCACAATATACAAAAAAAAAAAAAACAAAGGAAAGCATGAA